AAGAGTAACCAAAAAGGTTAAATGCTTGAGGCAGCATGAAGATTGTTTAAAGATGCTATATTAGAGTCTCAGAGAAAATGTACCTATCAAAATAAAGACATTTTAAAACATACAAAAAGTCACCATAGTTAAAAGGCGCATTAAAGGAAAATATTAAAGTAAACAGCCTTCAAAAACTGGAAGTCAGCAATTTTCCAATTATTAACCAGTGAATAACCTATCATTTAAAATTGAACATAGTAGCAGAGGAATGGAAAGTAGTAAATGTGAACCCTTTAAAGAGCTCCTGGAAAACTACAAACCAGCCAGTCTTATTTCCATACTGAACAAACTGGTAGAAGCAAATAGAGAGCAAAATGATTAGATGCATAAATAACTATAATCATAATGCTGAAGACTCAGCATATTCTTGTGGAAGGAAGCCATGCCTCAAAAGCCTCTTGCAGTTCTTTGAAGGAAGCAGCAAGCACACAGATGTGTATGATCTGCTTGATGTTGGATGCTTGAATTTTCAAAGAGATTTTGACACGGTCATTCAGCAAGGACTCTTAGAAAAATTAAGTGACCATGGAGTGCAAAGGAAGGTCTTCCTGAGGAGTAACAGTTGATTAGAGATGGGATACAAATGCTAGCAATAGTTTTAATTTACCCACTGGAATCCCACAAGTTTTGTGCTGGGATCACTGCTGTTCAACATATTCAGAAAAGTCCTGAAAAATGGTAGAAACAGTCCATGTCAGAGCTCATGGCAAAATTATCATGGGTGGTCAAAATAAAACTGGATCACCAGAAGCTGCAAGAGGATCTTATGGTATGGGGTGAATAAGTGACATAATGATAGACAAAATTCAATATCAATAAATTCAAACTATTGCAAAAAACCTGACGGTCTTTGTATATTCATGAGTTCTCAGATATTAACACTTAGGAAAGAGGTCAGGGTTCCCATGGACAGTTCAAAAAAACGATCACTTCGATATTTAGTACTAGTCAAAAAGGCAAACAGCAGACTAGGAACTGCCAGAATAGGGACAGGGGAAAAGACAGAAGTCGCCATTATACTACAATGCTAAAGTGTAGTGGGTGTGGTTATCTTGACCACTTCATGGTCAATTCGTCTCACAAAAGATAGACATTATGATTAAAGGCCTGGAAGTTCTCCTGCATGAGAAATGACTGAACAGCTGAGGATACTTCAGCTGGAGAAGAGATGATTCACATGAGAGATTATAATGGAGGAGGACAAAATCATGGATGCAATCAAGAAAGTAAATAGGAAACAGTGATTTACTGTGACAGGTTATGGGAATTTTGGGGCATCAAATATAATTATCTAGCAGTAGGTCTAATGTAAATAAAATGGATCATTTCTTCACACAAAACATAAATTAAACTGCATAGCCCATTGCCAGAGGGTATCATGGAGGCCAACCATGGTGGGAAAAAGTCTCCTATGGCAAATTGAACATAAAGAAGCACATGCAACATATAACCCCAGAGGTTCTGAAACCTCTGATCCTTGCACACAAGACTGTTGAACTGTAAAACCTGCCACTGGGTAAGAACACTCTTATCCTCTTTCCTGTATCATCCCGAGAAACCCCTGGATCTACCCTGGATCTTTGGCTTCACTCAGTAACTATTCTCATCCTTTGAATCTAGCTTTCCCATCTGCAGGGAGAGTAATCCAAATATCTGCTATACTAGATACAGTACCAGGCTGCAGTATACCCTGTAGCAGACTTCCTGATTTTCTCATGTAGAAGTGTTTCTGACCACTGTTGAACAGATTCCACAAAGAGAGACTGTTTCTTTTAGTCCAGAACATCATGTGCTTGCTGGGGCAGCAGAGACTTAGATATAAGACCCTATTCAACTGAATTATTATCTTCCAGAACTCAAGAAGTTTCAGCTATACAGAGATCCATAGAAAGAGAGCACATCGCAGACCCAATTCCAGAACAGCAGAGGGAGGAACTGACCCAGAGAACCAAATCAGCATTTTAAGCAATACCCTGACTCTGGGCCACAGGGAAATAAGATGTTCCTCCAGCTGTGGAGTGCAATCCAGCTGACATATGCTCAGTTTTAGCCATTCAAAAATGAGTGGTCCCAGTTATCTAACCCCTGCCCCCTGCAGTCAATGGAGATGGATAGATGTTTCCAGGCAGTGATTCACTCCATTTTTCTTAGATACATGTCTCAGGATGGTTAAAATGCCACCAGACACTGCTCTCCATGTTTTTTATATAGAGACTCTATATAATCAGTTTCAACCGGGTACGTCCATTTTTCACTGCCAGAGTTTGATAAGGTAAGACCTCCACACTTGGAGATGATGAAGTCAGAAGCAGAGGAGAAGATGCAGCTTGGAGCTACAGCACTGATGAGGACACTGGTAGATGGAGAGTCCAGCGTGTCCTGGGAGATGGAAAAGAGAGAGAAAGGGAGAGGGAGAGCAGTGTTTCAAGGAGACCTGATGGAAGGAGAATAAGTTATTGCTAGGGCACCAAATTCACAGAAATATCAGAACAGTCTGTCCTGGGGAGTTGCACTGTTTGTGAAGGATAATATGATGTGCAACAGCATGAAAATACTGTAGGAAAGACCTGTAGGTGGAAAACTCAGAGTCTAGTAATAAAAATACAGTACAAGAACAGTACTCCCGACCCTCTGATCAGAACAGTGATGGTGATCAGAGAATGTTAACTGAGATTACAGAGGCTGCAAAATTAGGACAGGTAGTGATAGTGGGAGATTTTATCCACTCGTATACATACTAGGTTAATGCTTCACTGGGATGAGCTGTGGAGAAAAACTTTTTGGAAGCAATAAATGATTACTTGCCAGAATTAACTAGTCTAAATTATTTGACCCACAAGAAAAGATGCTATTCAGGATGTGGTCTGGAATGACGCATAAGACTTGGTTCCAGAGGTAGAAGTGCAAGAACCCATTTGTAATAACGCTCACAACACAATTTTAACTCTGTAGTGGGAGAGAGCAATCTAAATAAATGCAGCACCTGGATATTCAATTTCAAGAAAAGTAATTATGTAAAAAAGCAGCAATTAGTCAAAAAGAGCTGAAAAGGAGCAGTTCAAAAAACCCAAGATGGCTTGTAGGTTGTTCAAAAATGCTGTGCTGGCAGTTAAGAAATTGGTGGGCCCATTTGAGACCTGTGAGTCAAAAGGGGCATTCAGTGATGGCAAGACCACAGCAGAGAACCTCAATGAATTTTTTGCATCCATTGCTAATGCTGGTGACACTGAGACGTGTTTCACTTCTGTGTACCAGGGCCACTGCAAAGACTGCTTTGCTGAGGTCTGGGAGGTTTCCAATATGATCCCATCTACAGAGAGGGCTCTGGATGTAATCTTGAGGCCCACACACCACTGGAGCTGACCTCCAGCCTGGGACATGGCAGGACAAGATTACTGATGGTATGGAGAAGCACGGCCTCTTGGAAAAAGGTCAACAGGGCTACTATAAAGGCAAGCCCTGCCTCACAGACCTGCTGGAGTTTGGTGAGGGAGCCAGTGAGCACATGGATAAAGGGACCATAAAAACCAAAACCTACATATTTTTGGGTTTTCAAACAGCCTTTGACAAGGTTCTACGCCAAAGCCTTTTAAGAAACTAAGTTGCCATGGGCATGGAGGAAAGGTCTTGTAATGGACTGAGAGCTGGTGAAAGCATAGGATGCAAAGGGTAGGGCTTAATGGTCATTTTTCAGCATGGGTAAGAGTCAGCCGTAAGGCCCCAGAGACCGGTGCTGGGACTGGTTTTCATCCTGTTGGTGACCTCAGGTATGGAGGGGTGCAGTGAAATCCCCAGGTTTGCAGAGGATCCTCAATTCCTTCAGGTGGCTGGATACCTCACTGAAGGTGAGGAAATCCAGAAGGACCTCACAGGACTGAGTAAGTGGACAAATAAGTGGCAGATGAACTTTAGTATAAGAAAATGTGGTGTACCATTAGGGAAAAATGATCTGTATCAGGCCTGTATGATGCTGAACCTGGAACAGCTCAGGAAGGAGCTTGGAATCATCGTCAGCAGTTCTCTGAAATCATCAGCTCAGCGTGCAATGGCAGCTAAAAAATTCAATTAATGTTGGCCACTGTCAGCAAGGGCCATAGGCAGAGGGCATCATTTTGACCCTCTATAACATCTTGGTGCAGCCATATCTTGGGGGCTGCATGCAGTTCTAGTCTCTGCTTCTCAAGAAGGACGTAGTGAGGTTAGGGAGGGTGCAGAGAAAGATAATTAAAATGACTGAGGGATGCAGCAGCTGCCATGTGAGGAGAGACTGAAAAGGCCGAGGTCTTCACTTTAGATAAGAAAAGGGCAGGGAGGGTGGATAAGGTGGAGGCTTAGAAAATTGTGAAAGCAATGGCTTCGCTGAATGTAGGACAGCTATTTTACCCATCTGCAGCACTAGAAACTAGGGGCATTTCATGAAATTAGTAGGAAATTGGTTTAGAACAGACAATGAGTTAGGGCAAATTCACAGACAATAGGGCAAATTCACAGACAGAACAGGTACTGAAGGGAATAAGTAGAGCTGTATGCAACGACTGCACATGCTGTGGGAGACAAGGGGGATGGACCACAGACAGCAGTTTGGGCTTCTCTCCCTAAACAGCATCAGCTGGAGGCAGAATCTAGGCTAGATGGAGCATCATCTGATGTGGTAGAACTTTTTTTACATTTTTAAGAAATGAAGTAATACTCAGGAAGCGTCCAGGAAGCGTCAATGTTGGCAGACAAGCAGTTAATGCTATCTGAAAGCTAAACAGCAAGGTAAGAGCAAGAGGATGGAGTAGAAGAAGGTAAAGCACAAAAATGAAACCTGACATTTCTAAGGGGAAATGAAGAGGAAAAACAGTGATCATTATCATGGAGGAAAAAAAAAAAGAGCTACATTATTCGGTATTTTGGTAATGAATATTTTCTCAGTGTCACCAGTCTTTGTCACAGTAGTTGCTACTTTTTCTTACCTGTATGTACCAACAAGAACTTGGTCACAATCAATCAGGATAAACTTCTCCAGAACTTGGCCTGCAAATTTCTTGCCTGCTTTGCTGTAGTATGTGTCTCCACTCAGACATCTTATGCGCATATTCTGAAACCAAAGAAAGCAGAGTTTGTAAGGGGACATGTATTGAACTAAACTGAAATGTTCCCTTACGCATCAGTGGTGGACTCCCTCAAGCAGGAGCTCTGCTCCCACAGGTAGAATGCAGCAAGGATTAAGTATTTTTTGGCTTCTGCATACCAAATATTTGGTCACACTGTCCGCTTCTGTAAGATAAAAATACCAGCAAATATTAACAAGATGCACTTAGGTACAAATGCTGGTTTGAAAAAAATTTGGAGAATCCTATGAGCCTACAGACAATTTCTGATGTAAGACTATACAATTTCTTCCAGATCATTGATAATATTCAACTAACCACACTAGCTGATGGCTCTGCATTTAAACTAAATTTTGACCCATAACAACTAGCCAGTTTCTAATCAATCGAATGTGCTGTTCTGGTTTTATACAGTGACAGGCTCCTTAAAACCAAAATATCGCTCAATAAAAAAGATTTACAGAAAGGTATGTCTACATTTTAAGAATTGCCTTGTATCAGTATATTTTAAAATGATATTAAAATTTTCAGCTGCTGTACTCGAGTGAAACAGACCTGATCCTCATCTGTTTTAAAGACTGCAAAGAACTTCCCTGATACGACTTCAGCCTGTAAAACTGACTGCCCAGTACAAAATGGGAAATAAGGCGCTCGGTATCTATCAGGAGCCTTTTTCATAATGTGAGGTTTTTGCTCATTATAAAAGTTATCTGCACCTCAGCTGGGAAAGGCACAAGAGGAGAACAGTCACTGGAAACAGTTACTGGCCTGGTCTGTATGATACAGTGCCAAACAAAACATCTCGTATGTAAATAAACATCCCTAAGGCTGCACCTACGCTGGCCTGCCAGATCATCCCTTACGGCCCCTCCAGGCCAGCTCCCCTGCCACCTGCAGGGGCCTTGGCACACCAGGAGCTGTCACATACTGTCACCACTTGCGTTTGGCCCGGCAGGTCCCTCTGTGGGCAGCTCATTCCTGCCTGCAAAAGACGAAGACCCATGGCAGTTGGTACGGGCTGCACATGCCGCCGGGGCCATTTTGCCTCTTGGCGGAGGTGGGTGCTGCCCGTGGCCGGTGGGTGCTCCTGGTGGAGGCGGCAGCCTCCCCTCCGCCACGCAGCGGACTTCAGTCTGGCCAGACACAGCGGTTTGTAACAGCCGGCGCTGCAGACAAAAGACAAGCACGAAGAGTTGCGATTTGCCTACCGATGTTCTCCGCAGGGCGCAGACCCGCGTCCCTGCCACCCCTCCAGGAGCTGCTCCTGGGCATCGCTGCGCCCCCTTCTCCCCCTCCTCCTCCCGGGCAGGGGGAGCGTGGGCTCCCGCGGCCGCCTGTACACAGCCAGGGACCGGCTCGCCCAGTCTCTGGCCTCACGTGGGGTTCACGGCGCGGAAGTTGTGCCTCGGGGGTGAGGAGCAGGAGGCAGTCACCCTGCGGCAGGTGACTCCCTTCCTGACGGCTTTCCTCTTCCGTCAGAGGCCCTGCGGGCAGGAGGTGGGCTTCCCGGAAACATCTGCTGGGGAGCTCATCGTAGCAGGGTGGGAAAGGCTTGACTCTCATGTGGCGCTGAGGAAGTCTCCCCCCCTACCCAAGGAGCACCATTGCCTTCAGGGCTTCATAGCAGCAGCAAATCTCCTCCAGACCGGGGTCCATCTGACCCAACAGTCTATCTCTCACAGTGGGCAATGGCAGCTGGGGAAGATCAGGAAGAAGGCAATCATTTATGATGCTGCCCCCTAATATTGCTGCTGACTCTGTTTTCTGCTCGTGGGATTTCCTGAGCCTCTTGTGGTTTGTCTTAGTGGTCACCCCCCAGACCTCTTCTCCAAGTACTTGTCCAGTCTTCTCGAGTTCATGGAAACTTTTAGCAGGGACAGAGCTGAAGCTTCACAATCTTTGCACTGCGACTCTCACTCGTTGCCTTTTTGTGTCCCAAAACACGTCCTCATCTCTCACCTATGAGAAGGGAGAAACTTTTTCCCCATAAGGACAGTTATGCATTGGAACAAGTTACCCAGAGAGGTTGTGCAGTCTCCATGCTTGGAGATTTTCAAGACTAGACCAGGTAAGGCCCTGAGCAACTATGTCTGACCTCACAGGTGACGCTGCTTTGAGCAGGAGGTTGGACTTGATGACTTCCTGAGGTCCCTGCCAACTTGCATTAACCTGTGATACTCTGAAATGCCACCACAAGTTGCTGATACAGAGCAAAATACGCTGGGGATGTTTGGGGAGGCGTCACCTAATCCTGTTGCCAGTCAACACAGGGATTTTTTTCTTCCAGTGCTGAGGCTTTACTAATACTAGTTCTCTACTAGGAGGAGCTTCCTCTCCCCCTCCCCCAGGGAACTTAAAACCACTTCAAGTAAGGGATATCCCATAGATTTGTCGCCACAGTATTTCTTCACTCGCTCTATCCTTTCCAAGGCTGGGTGAGTTTCTGATATCTGGCTCATTTTTTCCATCCTCTTCTTCCTCTTGGCAATCCAGGCCCTGAATTGTCCAAACAAGATGAAAATCCTGCAGTCTTGCAGGAAAGCCAGACTACCAGGTACCACCCTCACTCGATTTAGACAGTAGTTCTATGTTCAGCAGATGGCCATCTGAAGAAATCCAACAGTTAAGTCTTCTGCTGTGGCCGCTGCCAATGCTCGATGCACCACTGCGGGATTTGCTGATATTCAGCACCAGAATTTGACACCAGCAGGCTCACACAACGAAGATGCTGGAGGGGCAATTGCCCCAAATTCCCCATTAAACCCCAAATTGTCACCAATTATTCCAAATGGAGATTTACCATCACATCCTGTCACAACTCAGAGCCAGGAATAAAATATGTACACTCATTCCACTTAGATGCGAATATCAAGCATATATGTTAATGTACTGCTTGAGATACATCAGCTTAAGAGGCACTTCACATTGAGACCTGCTGATGAGTCACTGCATGGGGGAGGCAAGTGTTAATTAGCCATTCAAGCACAAGACATGACATCAGGTCTAACAAAGAGATGTAGAATCTCCATGGATGTAAACTCATTCTACTTTTAATTAAATACAATGGCGAGGCTCTTGGTAAGAAGCAAATAAAATAAATTTTGGAGAGATGGAATTTATCTGGACCCACCAGGTGACTTCAGTGATGCAGTTGTTTATGAAAGCAAACATGCTCCAGCATGAAGCAGTTTTCCCTAACAGTTGCCATCTCAAGAGGCAGGATGAAATGGGTCTGGCTTGTGAGAAGCAAGAAAGGACAGAGCATCACCAACATGATGGTGGAAGATGGGGGAAGAAAGAAGCTCTCTAAATAAATCTTTGTGTAGACAGGTTAAAAATGAGGGAAAGTTAAGACATTGGTAACTGCATCTATTCTGAATGCTGTAAAACACTATTTTTGTGTTTTCCCTAATCTGTTTTTTAGTTAAGAATGGTTTTGAGGTAACTGGATAACTTCCAAGCATTTCCCACCAAGATGAAGGGAAAACCTATGAAATTGGTGGCTGGAAGAGAATCGGTCCTCCAGGGAATCCTATGCACCCAGTGAAGGAGCACAGCCACAACTGCTGGCCTTGCAGGACTAAAAAATGACAACAAAAAACCAACTTCCATTGATAGGTGGTAGCCAGAAAGGCTATATGGGGAGCAGCAAGATACTGGGGTGCATTTCTGAGTCTGCAAGTTCCCAAGAGAGCTTGCTGCACTGACACATTAATTTTTATTGTTTGCCTGCTCTGGGCACCACACACTGTTGCTGATGGGCACCCCACTGAGGGGGGAATCAGCCTCTTCACAAATCCCTCACAAACCCACACTGAATCGCAAAGCCTAAAAGCAGATCTTAACATGAGATTTTTAACATGTGGTTTTACATTAAGGCAGTGCAGCAGGGCTAGGAGGAAATGGTAGGTTTTGCGTCAGGACATCTGAAGGGACTCACTGCTTCCCTTCCCCACCCAGCTATTGCACTACAGCAGCTCTGGCCAGAACCTAAACTGAGCTCAGGGAGCTGAACTATGAGCAATTTAAGTCTCGCAATTCTATGTCCTAGAGCAGAGGCTGAGGGGGACAAGGAAGGGAGACGATACAGGTCCATATGAATGTAAGTTTTCTGGTCTACCTCTGTCTGCCTATCTGAACCAGCCCAGCAAAGCATTCAGTAACGCACCGCATCTTATTAGCCTTGACTTCACACTTCTTGTGTGTAAAACTGAAATGAGGACCACAAAAAATATCAAGATATGGGACTAGGAGGCTCCTCCACTCCTTCCCCTGTGCTTCCAGACAGATCTCGACTTCCTAGACCAAACAGCCATGGTCTCTTAGCCTGGGACAGTGGAGGAAGGGACAGGTTCTAGGGACCAGGCAGAGGGAACAGAACAAAGGGTACATGGTTTTTATCGATTCCAAGACCTGTTTATCATATCCAGTGTGTGACTGAAAACTTACTGGCAAGTTGTCCTGAGTGAGAGCCATTTTATTGCACATTTCCACAAAATGCTTCAAGTACTCTTCATCCAGGATCAGGTAAACAGGGACGTGCCGTCTGCTTGAGGCCTCCAGCAGGTCACACAGTATTTCCATGTCTGTAAACAGATCCATCACAATCGCTATCACCTAGCCAGGAAAAAAGAGGTGGGGGGGGGGAAACCAAGAGACTGTTGAAATCTCATGCCCAAGTGAATTGTGCTTTAAACTATGAGTTAAGTATTCAGACCTCCTGAGTTACCGAACATCTGTGGCCACATGAGTGGAGATTGCTTCTGGACCTTTGTGCTTAACAGCTCTTACCCCACCGTGGCAGATAAAATCACTTTTAATAACTATGAAGACATTCCCCATCCAGCTACCTCCTGTCTCATCTGGCATTCACAGAAAGAAATAGCTGAAAGGGTAATGCATGTGCACAAACTCTGAACATCATCGATGCAATAAGTATGTATTGCCTTAAGCAAATATGCCAGAAATACAACATATAAACGGAAGAGCTGAGACTGACCAAAATCATTATTCAATCGGTATGAGTGACTCCATAGATGACTAGCATATTAGTATAAAGAAGTATCATTTTTTTCAGGAAAGACACACTGCCAGGTAAGGGAGAAGGTATCTTGATCAAGTATGTACATGTCCTTGTTCCAAGATTACATCCTGGGGGCGACTACACAAAATTGTAGAATAACGTGTGTGGGAAGGATCCCTTCCCTTTCCCTGCTGGCAGCACTCCTGCCAACACAGCCCAGGATGCAAGTGATAGTTATGAAACCCAACAGTAGGAAGAAGGAGTTACACTAACATTATTAAAAAAAAAAAAAAAAGAATTCAACAAAATCTCAAAAAAATCTCTCTCAATAAACTGAAGACTTGCAAGACAAGGTCTCCAAGGGAGGGGTTTTAAAAAGGAAAATAATTTTAAAGAGAACTGCCAGTTCTTTAAAGAATGAGATTGAAGAAGGCCATGGCAACCCATCCCACCGTGGAGACGAGATGGGAGGCGGCAGACCATCTTGGCTAAATAAATTCTCCAAAAACTGGAAAGAAAATACAGAAAATGGAAAGTAGGTCATGACAAGTACCTACTACAAGTGAGTTGACACAGAACTAGGAAATTCAAAGTACATTATGACCTGCAACCAGAACAACGGGTCAAGGGAAATCAACCATAAATAAAGATGTGACTGGAGAAGCTGCCCCACTGTTCCTCACAGAGTGAGGCTGCCAGCAGACAACATCAAGGCAGCCATTATTTGGATAAGGAAGGGACTGCTGGGATCTATCTGTTGGCTGTCACCATTAGTGACAGGAATCAGGGGACATCTTGGAGAAGGAAGGAATAGGCAGGAGAGCACTTGCTGAGCTGGATGATTTGTCAGGCCTGATGCACTTCACCTGAAGGTGCCTGCAGAGCAATCCAGTGACTTAGACCTTGAACCATTAACAGTTAATAACACTGAGAACTCATGGAAGATGGCAACACACCGGGGGACTGAAAAAGTAGTGAAGGATTTACCAGCTTCATTTCAAAAGCTGAAAAAATAATGGAACTACTGACCAAGTACTTCAGTCCCAGTCTTTACCATATCTTAGCAGTAAATAAGGTAACTGTTTGGTACTTGTGATTTGTGTGCTTAACTCTGATTTTGAGTTTCTGCACCTAGCAGAGGATGCCCAAATAAAGATGACCCAAAAAGCACTGAGTTTTGGAGTGAAGCTCCAACGGCCTACTTTACCCTGCTACTCAATGTTCATGCCCTGCACTACACCTTGCACACAAAACGTATGCAAGAGTTTGTTCTGCTGCTCATCATGCACTGCGGGAGGAGGTAGGAATCCTGTTTCCAAACACCTCCTCTGCCTGTGTTAGAGCATGGCCATGAATGCAACCCTCCATAGGCCAAATCACCCTATGGAGCAGACCATGTAGGGTGAGCTTTTCTCTGCCACTTCTGCTCAGCTGCTCCTCTTCAAACAAAGAGTTAAATGCAGAGGACAGCAGTGAGGTTGACTTTTACATGTGCAATGGTTCAAGCTTCAAATAGGAATAGCCTGAATCACATTCACAGGTCTGACATGCAATAGCTTCAGAAAAGAGTAGAGGAGCTCCAAGTATCACTGTCCTTGGATATGGGGACAGGCTCACGTCTCTGCTCCAGACTGGCACGCTGGCCCCACATCACCTACTGCCCAGTAGCTCTTCTGCTCTGTTTTCATTAATAAACTGCCTCTTTCCAGGCTTACACTCATGGCCTAGGCGCTGAGTGGAGACAGCTGCCATGGGCAGAGTGAGGCCCTGTTGGCTTCCCCATGCTCTCCTGCCCAGTCTTTTGCTTGGCAAGCTGGCTCCTCTCAGCCCCGCTCTGCATGCACACACCGTGGAGAGACCCTCTGCACCAGAGCCATGGCAGAGGAGGGCAGCAATGCCAAAAGGTTGCTTCCTGCTCTCTTGGGGATTTATCCCTTTTGCAGATGGACAGGATTTCTTGGCTCTATCTGATTTGTCCCCAAAGACCATCTCTGTGATGATGCCTTCCACACTGTCATTGGTCTTCAACATCTTGCAGAAGACCCCAGGCCCAGCCCACCACAGCAGGGTTTGGGGAAGAACCTTCCTGGAGGCTGGTGTGATCCCAGGCATCCACGTGGGACGCAAGGTAGCTGTCATCAAGAGCTAAAAATCATTCTTACTGTCCAGGCCAAAACCACATCTCCACCCTCTCACCCTGGCCCTGGGAGATACAGGCTTCAGAGCCTGACTCCGAAGGGCACCTCTTTTGTAGCCCTCGTCAGTGTTCTCTTCCCAGAAGCCTTATGAGGCTCTGGCAAACTCTTCTCCCCTCCTGAAATACCTCCATCTGGCATGGACAGCAGTCAGCCCTGGAAGAGCTCTGAAAGCAGCAAGAAGCATCTTCAACTTCCCAAATTAATGTTGCTGCTGGGCTATCAGCATTAGGTTCCACTGAGATCCACACAAAAAGCCAGGACTTCACCATGTCTTTCCACACTGGCCTTCAGCCAAAGACCAAAGGCAATTTAGCCAAATGACTTTGATGGGCCACCCATCCTCTAATGATGAAGCACCAACAAAAAACTATAGCCCAAACCTTGTGTAAGGCCTCAGGCAAGTCCCTCTTGGCCACACTTGCCTCACAATATTCCAGCTCATCTCAAGCTTAGGTCTGAGGCAGGCTTCGTCCTGGAGACAACCTAAACTTGGCTTGGGAAGTCAATATGATGGAGTCAAGAGAGACCAATGCTCCTTTGTCCCCAGACCCCACAGGCTCAGAGGCACTGCTTGTGCCTAGTGTGCACAGAGGGTCCACACCATCTTGCTTTTCTCTACCAGTGCTCACAGGCTTTGGCAGAGTTCGGGGCTGTTGCTTGCCAGTCTGCAGTGCTCGCTGCGAGAGGGAGGGGGCTGAGCAGGCAGTAGCATGGCTGCGCACGGCAGCACGTGGCACAGAGTCACCCGTGGCACCCAGTGCCCTGGGCTGGATGCAGCTGGCTGCCAGGCAGTCCTGCATCTCCTGGCAGCCTCGTGGCAGGGCTCCGGCGTCAGCGAGTGCCCCAGGCAGCGGGACGCCCGCTTGTGCAAGCTGGGTGGAGCCCTGCATGATAGTCAGACTCATGTTTTCCGAAGCGGGTCTTCGCTTGGCATCAGGAGGTGGAACAGGCTATGGCTCTATTCACGGCCTCCTCACATGCGATCCCTTCACAGGAGGGATTTGGGTAGAGTTGCTCCTGGTGGTGCTGGCAAGCACCCACAGCCAATGTCGGGCAAGGAGGCTGGCAGCCCATGTGCACTGCAGTTCACAGCAAGGAGCACTGCAGTGGGGAGAGAGGGGAGGTTGTGCCTGCCACAGCCTCGCATGGTGGAGATGCAGGCGCCCACGGTGGGGCTGCTCATTCTAAGCGTGGATGCCACAGGACAACCGTAAGAGCCATTCAGATCACCATATCCTCTCGGTAAACAAAGCAGGCAGCTCTTATAATAACATCAACTCAACCCCAAAGCCAAGAAGTTTTGGGGGAATATGACCCTGGAAGTCTTCCCCTTGAAGCCTCCTAAGAACACATTGTCACAAAAGTGAGGTCTAAAGCTTCAAAGATAATTTCCAACAGCTCTATAAAGCAGTGGAAGTTAGGTACCTAAATACCATCTCCGATTCAGGCTCCTGACAACTCATGTCTCACATTTAAAAGCCTTGGGCATTTAAGCCAATCTGGCCTTACAAACCTAAGCAATGTATGTCCAGCACCTCCAGCCCCTCGGTTTCAGTGGTGGGAGCTGCAAGGCTGGGGCTGGCTCAGAGCATCCCTCACCATGCTGATCACAGCCTCCAAGCCCATGGCACAGCCTTGGCACATCAGGACATTGCAAAGACACAGCTGCCCCACAGGCTCTAGAAAATTCACACCTTGCCGTTGTAGGGTTAAATCATAACATTTCTAAATCCACTTCTGGAAACTCACAATTCAGCAATTACTGCAGTCATCACTTTGGGATTACAGCACTTACCAGCACCCCACTGGGGTTGCCATCTGTCTGGTTTCTAACCAGCACAGCTGGTTTTACTGGTATTTGCCAATAGCAGTGTGGTTTTGGTCATTACCGTAGTGTTGCCACTTGAAGCAACACATTGCTTCTCTGGGAGACCATCAGGGACCCTTCTACCATCGCACATAAATGCAGACGTGCAGCCAGTGTCAGAGTTGTACAAGAGGGGTGAAAGAAGCAGCATGGACAGTTCAAAATACATTGGAGCTCATCCAACAAAAGTAAAATTGTAATAGTATTATCAAATGAAGGCTAAGGTGTGGCTGCGCTGCATCTTCTTATGTCTGCGAAGAGAAAAGCTCAAATCTGAAAATACATCTTCAAAGACAGCTGGTTAAATACAGCAAAGTAGAAAGACAAACCGCACCAGCAAAAGGTACCAATAAAACAAATGCCCTTTTTGCTGATTTGTCAGTACAAATATGCTGTTGCAAAATATGTCAGCTGATGTTGTTCTGTATGACTGTACAGGAGAAAACAGCAAACAACATTTCAAGACACACGCCACCCTGTCTACAGGACCCAGGAAAAGCATTCAGGGATCTCAATATCCTTCCCACATCCCACCAGAACTGTATTCCCCTTCTATGTTAGCTGTAAGCACACAGGAAGAGAAACACTCTAAAGGAGGGATATATGACAAGAGCTTAAAGTCTAGTGGAGAAAATATTTGAAATGCAGAAACAGCAGTCAAAAAGCAAAAAAGCAAGTGGTCCTCCGCACAGTTGCTACTGGCACTTCAAGCAAAAGATGTTTTTACCTCTGGTTCCTCTTTTGTCATTAAAAGGCATACAGGTAACATCCTTTTGGATGGTTTGATGCGCAAAATGACTCAGTAACTACTTAAAGATGTGTAACTGGGGTTGTGAATGAGCTGGAACTGCCGTCAATCATAGAGTTAATCATGGGAAGCACTGGCCAGAGCTGCTAACCTAGAAGCCAGTAAAACACCAGTAATAAACCAATACGATGGTTGAAAACTCATGCTCACGTTTCACACAACAGTCAAAAACACTGTGTGAAAATCTCCCACTTGAACATAAAGGGCTGAAGATTGTCAGTGCTTTTTCAAGCTAAGCAAAAAAAGTAAAAAGCTCAAAATGTACTTAAAGTACAATAAAACAGCTACTGCCCAGGCAACCTCCCTGCAGCAATTGAGAAGTTCCTGTGAACTAAGAAAACAGCAAGATGTTTTTCATGTGGTTTAAAGGATCACAATATCATCAGAGATCCGGGACACGTGCTAAGTGACAAGGGGACATTTCTTGGTAGTCATTTACTTTGTGCATTCTGCCATGACTATGTCTTAATCGCCATTGCTGAAAAGGATGCAGTCAGTGTCACAGGACTTTTCAGATCATTTAAGATATCATAAATCAGCTGCCTGCAAGGACAAACAAATCTTTTTGTCACTTACTTCCTGGACAAAACTTCCCGTATTTGCCTACAAAGGTGCAACAGAAGTTCAGGCATTAAGCAATGGCTACTTACAACCGAGCAGTAGCTTACGTGGCAAAACGGTCTTCTTTTGAACAAAAGAAAAAAAGATCCCCATTTACCTCATATCACACCCAAATTTCAATTATATGTGGTTCTTTGATGATGTTATGATGCTGCACAGCAATCTGAGCTGCTGCATGGCCCCAGTTTCATCTGCTGGGAACAACATAACTTTGTTTGCTCAACTCTGCAGATGGTGACAGAAGGTAACACTTTAGCTTAGTCTGCCTGGCAACAGCTTGTGTTCTTGACACAGCTGAAGTCCAGGCTTAGCAATTCTTTATCTCCCGCTTTCTGCACTAGGCAGTAATGAATTGAGGAAGTGACTGTAAAATAAGAAACTACTGGAGTGATAAGAGAAATTGCCTAGAAGCTGACTGGTTAAAAGTGAACTTGGCACTAGAAGTTTACTCAATATCGCCACACTATTGAAATGAAATACTACAAAAGAAAATTAACATGGAACAGATGAGAAGAACCATAAAGAGGACAAACACAGTAAAAGCTGAAAATGTGTCTGATGCACAGTTGTCCAAGCTGCTGCTTTAGTACACAGTATAGTGGCAAAGTAAAAAGAAACAAGAAGGAGCGTAATTTAGTGAGTAAATTCATGCCAGGATTGTGCTTGATAGGCAAGTATCGTAGTCGTCCAGTTTTTGTTACATCCGAGGGTTGGCAGTCCAGCAGCCCAGCAGAAACTGTGCGATGGGGCAAAGCGGACTGATCTTACTCATCCTCAGAGAGGCACAGACATCAAGTCTAGAAGATACGATGATGTATTCTAACATACTTCAAACCACAGGCAGGGACTTTCAGTCCCACAAGTTTACGCAGGTCCTGTGTTCTCCCACAGCAGCTCACCAGTGGTATCCTCTTGTCCTGCTTAACATGATGTCCAGGGGTCGAGAAGAGCCCTGGTCGTGCAAACTCCCTGGCAGAGGGCAGACGGGCTGGCTGGTGCACACTTGCCGGCTGAGGACAGCTAAGCGTTAAGGCTGCACACCCTGCCACTCACTCGCTCCAGGCTCCAGTATCGTGCTCTGCATACCCACAAATATAGACGCAGAGTGCCTTAAAGGGCACTGCCTGTATGACATGAAATCCCAGGCAAAAAGAAATTACAGGAAAGGCAAGGAGCAGGAACAGTTACAGAGCTGCTAGAGAAAAAGCAATCACACCATGGCAGACATCTAGAGAGCAGCAACAGCTTGGAGCGTGTGGTGTACAGTTGTGGGACCGGCCACCAGGACTGGGGTGCTGTGGCACAAGACCCCATTCAAGGGACACAGCTCTATACATACCGTCCGAGCCCGGCTGATCAGAGACCGGAGCAAATCCTTAATGCTGTTAGCTTTGTTTCTTTGGAAAATCACAGTGGCTTGAGTCTGGCCAGACACCGTGAGGAGCGGCGTCCCTGGCCACCCCAGCTCCAGCTCTGGAGGGTGCACATCAGACATGAGTGGAAAGTAGGTGCCAGACGTTAGTTCGGAGTTGAGGGAGGACCTGTCTCCAATGTCTGCATCGCCAGGGTCAGCCTCTTTGTCTTTCATTGCATTGGGATCCGGAAAGCTTTGGTTTCTCTGATGGCTCATATACTCCATGTCCAGGGTGGAAAGAAAAGGCAGCTCCCGTTCCTCAGCGATGGCACTCAGGTAGCCGCGTTCCCCCTGCTCAAGAAAGGCGTCTATGGCAAGCCTGGCTGTTTCACTGTGCTGGAGCACCAGTGGGGTGGGCTCCCTCCACCACGGCTTCTTCAGCTGCTCTAGGCGGCTCTTCAGTGGCCCAGACACCACTTGCTGGCCCCCATAGCTGCGGTGGAACTGGGGTCTCACCTCTACTGCTAGGTAGTTGAACATGACCGGAGCTGTTGATGCTAAGAAATGCCTCTCCAACTGGATTAGTCCTCTGTCCGACTTCAGGTCTTTTCTGGCCCTCTTGTGCTCCTAAGCTCCTCCCAACAGGTTCCTTCAGGACTCAGCATGAGCTCCACTCCTCCGCTTGGGAGTTAATCACCAGGTACAGCCTCCCACTCGGGGGGAGGAGCCGGCTTTCCCCAGCTCCCTCACTTGGCTTCCTCAGACACACACCTGATATGTGGTGCTTAGAGTATCCCTTTTGCAGGGGAAGAAGATCAGCTCTTCCAGCCACTCCTTCCCTTTCCTTGTAACTGATTCATGTACTGCCCTCCCCTTCCCTTCCGAGAGGTCCCCACCCTTGGCCGAGCAGGCTCTAACCTGTTTTGTCCCTCATTGTGCTCACAGTGGAAATGCAGATGCTGAAACTTGTTCCTGCTTGAAATTTGTTCCAAATCAAACATGCTTCTCAGTGTCAGTTATAATGAAATACAAATATCCCAAGTGGGTAATCAGACTTGGCCGAGAAACTTATTCATCCCTGAACCATAGCTAAGGCTCCTCCTAGCATTTCTTGGGAGCCCAGGCTCTGCTAGACTGGCACCCGGCAGAGAAGCCAAAACACCATCTTTCTCGGTATCACAGGGTCACAGCGTTTGTACGAAGCACAGCAAAAATTTTAGCACAGCTCATGTCTCTAGATACCACAGGCTATAAAAGCAACAGCTCATGTGGTCTTTCAGCATCTCCCTGGACATCCTTCAAGGAAGGGACATCCAAACTTAGGAGTCTGGTGCTACGTGAACGATGATACTGTCCACATGCTGTGTATTTCAGGGTTAACTCCAGCTTCCCAAAAGCATCATGGAGCTATTTTTGGAGAAACAATACAGGCAGACATTAATATGTGATTTAAACCGCCGCGTTAGGAACGCACCACCCAGAACACAATGCAGTACATGAAAAATTGTGCGCAGGAGGCACACAGGAGTCCCCAGACTGCAATGCGGACCTCCCCCACCTCATTCAGCTCACTTACCCTGGAGCTACTAAACTCCGCAGAGGCTAACCAGAGAATGAAGAACTGGCTGGATAGTTGATCTAATCAGCTAGCCTTTTATCTACAACTTACAAAACCCCTGTAGATTAAATTCATCCAGGCTAAATTAATTCATCTAAAAGCTAAATGTCTGCTCTCTAACAATCAAGGGGCTACGGGCAATGGAGAGAGACAGCCATGCCTAAGTGTGAACCAGCACATTCAGACACTAAGTCAGCTGGGATGAATCATGTCCCCAAGGGACTATCACTCTCCGTGGACTACAGATGGAGTGGGATGATTAGTTTAGATTAGCTGTCTAGTCTTTAGATCCCTGAAGTCAGAACGAACTCTTACTGGGACTGTGCAAACTGCAAGAACAGAAGCAAAGGTACATTTAATCAGAAAATTTAAGTTGCCTGCCAGAGCTGTGCTGCAATGCAGCAAGCAGGTGCAGAGTTAGCAGCTGTGGACAATAGATATGGGACAAAATTATAATAAAGCTGCTGGCATAGAAGTGTTACAGATGTAAATAAGTGTTAGAGCAGCTTAAAGAATAATATTAACTTAAAATGTGAGGTGAACAGCCAAACACAATGTAAGAAAGTTTGGGGAAAAAACAAAGGGAAGGGACTATAACATGATGGGCCTTTTTCTGGAGCTGCTTTGCCAAGGTGATAACGTCACCTTGGTGATAACATAAACGAAGGGTAACATCACCCTACTTTTTGCCTTCCTAAAGAGCTGAAAAGAGTGTGAATTTTAAAAAAGTCATCAAACGCATGTTTTCTGCCAGATAAACGACTACTGCTGATTTTGTAAAGTAAAGGGATTTCCACTGTCTCCAGCTGGTGTTTGGTAATGATCTACTCTCCCTTGAGTAATTTCTCATGGACCTCAGCACATGAAAGCACATACGACCTAAACATCTCCAGCCAAGCTTGCCAAGCTGGGCTTCTTCAGTGTTGGTAGGGAGAGGCAGAGATTTCTAGGGAGTCAGTTACCTCACCCTGCAGCAGACATCTGAAACAGGTCAGATGAAATGTGCCATGAGAGCACTTACCTCTCTCCACTGAGCAGAAGGAGAGCTCAGGCTGCCAAAGTCAGTGACAGAGGTTTACCATGCAGACATCTAAAATTAGAGGAGCGGTATCCTGTCCCTGCTGTCTGGCAAAGAGATAAGTGTCTGTAATTGGCACTCCACAGACTGATTGGCCAACACAGGATGTGGGAATCACATCAGCCAATTTTTGCCAGCTAAAAGCAAGGATCTTACGTGGAAATGTTGTCTACACACCTTCTGCAATTAACAGAGAAAGACAAGGGGAAAATTCCCTCTGGCTAAACACACACACCAAGTCCCACTTCCAAGTCAATGTCCCTAGGCAGCTCTACTCTGGCTGATACCTGAGCTCAGTCAGGATCCAAGCATTAGGCAATACTTCATTCTTGTGTCCCACTACAGATGTTCTTGGAGCTCACCAAACACAAACACCTTGCCTGGGCTTTCCACAAAATGTACCTGCTGCTTCCTCTTCAAGGAGGGAATGGAAGGGAGCCTGCCAACTTGGCAGGCATGATAGTACAGTTCTTGGAGAGCACTCACCCGGGAACACGAGAAGCCAGATTTGCTTTTCCCCCCCTCTTTATTTCAGACTGAAATCCACATCTTCCACGACAAAACATCATGGTGTTCAAACACACTTATCTATAGGCATTTCTGGAAGGCATCTGCATAGCAATGTTCCACTGTGCAGAATTCACTGGCCAGATGTAAACAGCAAGCGCAGCTAGATGAGAAAAGTCCAAATTTTAGGTACTGCACTGAGATCTGTGTCGGCACTGAACTCACAGACAGAGCAGTGCAAAGTCAAGTCTCCCAGTTTTTTGTCTGAGGTTCCTGACCATGGCATTACAGAATCATTCTTCTAAACACAAGTGGCAGCACACAAATTCCTTGTTTCATTTTTTCCATTCGCATCTTAAGACTCTTCCAAATCAGGGGAGAGACAGCTTTGCACCCGCTCAGCCGAAGGAGGGCACTGGACACCCGATGCCAGCTATAGGCCAAATGATCTAACCGCTAGTGACGGCAGGGAAGGTAGACAACCCTACTTTCTCCACTGGCTCCCTGCTCACTGTGTGCCTAGCGTATAGGTTCTTTCCCGTTGCCTCTCTGAGGCCCCCACCACCCACATGCCATGCAGGGAAGCCAACGTGTGGCCATGGAGTCACTCTGGTGGCCCTGCGAGGTCCAGCCCTGAGCTGCTCAGGGTGCTGATTCAGAGCTGTCATGAGAAGGACCACAGTGTGCCTCTTCCCGAGGCTGCTGCCCTGTACATGTGAAAAAGTACTTTCAGACACCTTTTCCTTCTCTCCTTCCAAAGGAAATACACAGAAATTGTAACATCAATGGGTCTAGTTACCAGCAGGAAGAGGGTATGAAGGGAAGGATGTGGGACAATGAGCAAATCCTTGTAAGATACATGGCTTTGACAGGATGTGGAGCAGCCCAGGAGGCTGGTAGGTGGGATGAGGAATGAATGAGCCCAGCTCATTCTTTTAGTCGCTGACGTAATCGTTAATGAAGGCTTTGCATGTGCAAGACTCCTTGCTTCCTAAATAAGCAGGAAGGAGCTCTTACCTCCTGGGAGAGCTGCAGTAGCACACCGACACCAACAAGATCCAGCCTCAGCAACATGTTGCAGGGTCCTCCTACATGAGCATACCTGCACAAGACAATAAGAACAGGACAGTAGATATTTCTGGTTCCTGCACTTGCGTGCAGGAAATCGTTTACACTAGTCTGCCCCAAGTCCCTCAAGCAGATCTGTCGCTACTTGACCTAAACTCCCTGGCTGCTCCCAGCACATCACATCTGGAGCAGCCACTGAAATGTAACAGCAGAAGGTGGAATCATGCTCGTGTGAGCTCCTGCTCTGCAGTCCAAGTGGAAGGATGAGGCCCAACATCTCTTCTGTCCCACAAATGAGCAGAGCAAGCTGTTAAGCAGGTTGAATGACTGTAAGCAAAACAAGGACTCCCTCAACATGTTCAGCAACTTCAGGAAGAACACATGTAGGATGCACAGGACAGCCCTAAACACCTGAAGAAGGGGCAGCAATGAAAAAAAAGCTCACCAGAGGCATCTGGGAAGGATCACGAGACTATTAACATGCAACTGCTCCATCATAGTGCAGGAGGCCAGGCAGCCCACAGCACCAGTGGGTGATACTCCCTTTGCAGGCAGAGAAGAGAGGTGGATACTTCACAAGCACAGCAATTGCCTAGGCAGCAGAGCCTACCACTCACTCATGTTAAGCTTCAGGGTCTTTCCTATGTCCTTGCCAACTTTCCCAGGCTCCTGTGTAAGCTTCTGCACTCTCCTTGACTTCGCAGACCTTCAGGAAAAGACAGATAGTGCTAAGGGCCAGGCTGTGCAGACACAATATGCCCAAAAGATGGAGATACTGCTCCCAAGGCATGCTGCAGAGTGGTAGAAGTACCATCACCCAGACTGCTGGAAGAGGTGTTGATCTAGCCTTAGGACACCAAGGGCCCAGTCAAGCCTTATGCAGCACTGTTTAGCAGAAAGAATGGGGCACAGGTTTATCACAGTCTCTTGTAGAGAATAGAGCAAAAAAGTCTCGGTAAGAGTTTATTATACAAGACGACAACAGACATCAGACAAAGTGGGCCAAATGTGAAGAGGCAGGAGGGAGGGCAGGAGCCTATACAGGGGGGGTGTCTACTAAGAAATTAGCTGCCACCAGCATCATCAAAAAACCCCCATGTACTAGGCTAAGACGACAACCAAACGTCTGCACTGGAGCCCGAGAAGCTGGAGAACGTCACAACAGATGACCGCTGTATTTGTGGCACAACTCTATTAGCAGAAGAGTTAGAAAGATACTCAGTAATTTCTAGGTAGTAACATAAACTTTTATGACTCCCAACACTGGTATTTTCACCTTCCTGGAAGAAAGCACACACAGTCCAGTTTTGGAATTGTTCAGCATACCTGTAGAGGGGATCAGCAAACTTCTCCAAATGCTCAAGCAGTACTTCAGCACATCTCTGGGATGCAGACAACCTTTGCTACATGCTCAGGATTAAATTGGTACCACAGAAATGCTACAAGTAGACTGCACCAGGTCTATTTTGATTTGAATTTCTGAAGGAAGACCTCCTCTGCAGGGTTTTGGAAGCAGGAGAGTGTGGAAAAATATGAGATAGGGTCACAAGTTATGGTATGGTATCCCACTGCTCTTCAAAGTGGTGTCATGCAGTGGCATACATCACAGGGACCATGATGGCAGAACCAGTCACCATCCCCTCCCAGCTGATGCTTACCCTCCCACGGCTTTGCTATTCTTCAGCTACTCTACATTCATCTAATTCAAAGCTCTGATGGAAAAAATTGCTCTTAAGTCAGTCTCCAGTTTCTGCTTACCTTATTTGCCAAGCCAAAGGCAGGGTAAGTGAGACAGGTCAGTGGTTAAGTCCAACTGCTATGTCAGGAGTGGCAATTCTGACCCGAGGGCTTGGTGTGGCAGCAGCACAACTGAAAACTTCACTTTGTGGAAGATGAGGATAGGAGTCAGAAATCTGGGAAGTGGTAACTGCACTTTAACAGGGCTTAGGCACCTGGACAGTACAGGAAATGTGGAGATCATCAAGGATGCCTCTGCTCTTAGCACTTTAGCTGTTTAAAGAAGCAGGGAAAAAACGTTAGCTATAAATACCAAAAAGCAGTGTGAACACAGAAGCTGAGATGACACAGAAAAACATTTAATCACCTAAAATACAGAGTAGGCATCAAAGTGTATCAGATGACCCCCCCCGACTCCAAAATGTCTCAGAATATCAGTCTGAAACAAGAGACTTCCCAAGTTTGACCCTGTGGGCAAAACATGCACCTACTCTCCCACTGGTGCAAAACAGCAGAGAAGGAAGGGAAACCATTGAGCGTTGGCCCTTCTTTTCTGCTCACAGAAACAAGAAAGCCAAGATCTAGCTGAAATAATAAGTGCTTCTTAGTGGCTCATGTCTCTTGATTTTAAGACATCTGGGAAAGTTCGGGGAACAAGTCCTTTGGAATAATATGCAATGCCCAAATTCCGTATATGAGATAGGAGATCAGGTTGGATGACAAAGTGCTCAACATGGCTCCTTCCAGAAGAAATGCCCGTGCATATATTCACTTAAAATACAGTAAGTATCCCCAAGCCAATGCTCTGAGACCACTTTCAAAAAGCCCAGCAGCATAAACAAAGAACCGTCCATAAGCAAAATACCTTCAATCATTCCCACTGCAAAACCTCAAAAATGGGAGAAGATGGGCTTTACAATGTTTGGTTAAAAAAACCCACATTCTGCTGCACTTGAAGCAGTACTATACATAGGAATCACTTTTAACTGCTAATCATGGCTGCTGTAATGCTTGCAAGGTGCAGATTTTGCTACTGGAAATGTTTTCTTTCTTTCTCTCTTCTCTCGTTCTCTCTTAACTCTGAATTCTGGTTGTAGAGATGTCCTTAGGTAAGATACTAGCAACAGCATGTTTCTAGCCTATTGGCATGCACCTCTCAAGAGGGGTCATATTCTACATCCAAATCCTGTCTCCAGGTAACTAATGGCTGGGAAGCAGAGTCTTCTCTTGTCCTGTGTAGCCTCCAGTGTATTTTTCCTTTCTAACAAATTAACGTTTTAATTCATAGACAGTTTCTGCCTTATTCTCTTAACAAGCCCCACACGCTTCTGTCCAAAACACACCCTGACTGCTGGCTCAGCTCTCTAACAGTGGGGTGGTTGAAGGCATTTTATGGAACAAGCAGAGCGCCATGATTATAGGTCTTTATTCTCATATTAATAAAAAGTGCAAAAGCAGATGCCAATGACCACAATCTGGCACCATGATTTCTGGAGCCTCCTGCCCATAAACATAGGAAAGTGTTCAATTTTGACCACATGGCTGTCCCATATTCAGACTACAAAAGGTATTGTCATCTCCAGACTAGTGGTCCCATGAATTCTACTAGCTTGCTGCCTTCACAGCATCAGCACCTCAGACACTAGACAACCTCTGACCTGTGCGCAGCACCAGGTTGGATGGTGGTGTACTCCCAGTCCAGTGTTCCCATGGCATGGATAACATGAGTTCAGGTTTAAATTACATAGCAGGAAAGGGGTTAAAGTTTAAATGACTGTTTTGTATATGAATTAATGTATGTAGCTTTGAGCCAAAATATCTACCATTAATTTTTCCACCTATTTCAGGAGCAGTAAGATACACAAAGTAAAGTTTATTTTGGTACTTGGTATACTTCACTCTCATTAAAAATAAATTAATCAGCAAATTCCTACACAGCTCAGCCTTCTTTTATGTAAATACAACCCAGCTGTAATGAATTACAAGGTGTTATTATCTCACACACACTGTATAATACTTCACACATAAGAGGTTTCTCTGCTTAGCTCAGCTTTCAACAAAAGCATCTTAAATAAACTGCAAGCAAGTTGTTTGGTCTGTAATGTTTTCACAGAGAAGGGATACACCTCACACATAGAGGGTTTCTTTACATGACTCATTTTATAACAAGTTAAACTGAGGAAGTTCGCCTTGGAAAAAAAATAACAAAATGCCTTTTTTATACACAGAAGGCTCCCTAAGAGAAGATTAAAAAAAAAAATGCAAGCCAGTGTTTGGGAGCCTATATTCTGCATCCCACTGCTCTTTACACAGAGAAGGGATGTCAAATATTCCCCAAAATACACAACATGAAGAAAGCAACTTCAGAAGGAAGAACGGTCACAGGCCAGGCACAGTCACACTTTCACCAGATTAAGGATTCACAGATTAAGGATTATCATCTTCGACTGTTGTTTATTAGTTTTATTAGGAATAAGTCCTGATATTATAGGGCTATTTCTTATCAAAAGTGCACACGGCACAGAAAACACATACACATCAATTTTACCCAGACTGACATTTATTATTGACTTGGATTTTAGACAGGAGAGAAATAAAAACTGTTTTTGTCACTGACCTGGAAATAGCCTGGTGAACCATCCACCTACGCAGTACACCTCAGCCTCTGCTGATTTAATCACTGGAGCTCTTGCTCCCGTAATTACTATGTTGGCGTAATTTGCCTGCACAGCCATATAAAGTTTTCACTGGGGTTGACAAGGTCTTGTTAAAAAGCCCAGGACCACTGCTTTGGGGTAGCATAGTCCTGTCCTATTAAGAGCCATGGAAAGAAACAGGGATGTTCTTTTCATAGAGAAATTCTTAGACCACAACTCTAAAAAAGAATACGGAAAAATCAGCAAGGCAGACTGAAATACCAAGTACTCTGAGGCAGCTTTTAGTGACAGCCATGTGTTGGACTTTATTCTCATTAAGATGGCTAGAGTCATAGAGGATTGCTGGGGATTGTGCATTATTCTTTGCATCCTCCTACCCTTGTGCAACAAAGCAGGGAGTTCCTAAAAAGGATTTTCACAGAAAACCCTTCAGAATCTGTTAAAGCAATTCTTAACTCCACTAAAACAAAAATGGACCATTCCATCTTGATATCAGGCTTTTAAAATACATTAACATCTAATATGCAAAACTCAGATTTGCATTCACAATGATTCAGTGAGCAGAGGAACACCGTTGTGTCTCTATGCAGCAGCTCTGCAAATGAGGCAAAGGACAGAAATGTCTTCTTGAGATAACTCTAAGTCATGGTAAAATATCTGGTTTCCTAAAAACAGAAGGCAGGTCTTTCAGTTTGTCAGCAAGGACCACTCAGTGCCATAAAAAGGACAGAGGTTCTCAAACCAACTACCATTTATTTGCAGGTGAATATTCAGAAGAGTATGGCTGTCCAATTTGCTACTGAGTCACCACGGATAGGATATCTAATTAAATATTTTCTTTTCAACAGCAGATTTTCCTTCCTGACTCCACAGCCTCAGCCCAGTTCAATTTCAGGCATGCTTCCCAAGCTGATCTGACAAATTGATAGAAATGTCAGGCGCCGGCGCTCTCACAGTCCTTCGTCATTGTAAACAGGGGAAAGGGGCTTGAGGATGCTGCGGGCATTGCTTTCCACGAGTGGCCGCCAGCTCACCTCGCCCGTCAGCAGCAGGTCCTCCCCGCTCAGCGCATCCAGGTGCTGCACCTGCAAGGACAGGACGTTAGTGCAAGGTGTCCCATCACCCATTCAAGTTCCTCAAGAGCTACGCAAACACGTTGCTTTCCAGAAAGAAAGCAGAACAGGGGGATTTTAGCATACTTTGCCATTTGTGTGAGGTAGACCTAAAAAGATAATTTATGACTGCTTAAGCGTCATGGAAAGGCTAGGAGATAAGTATCTGCAGATCCATTGGAGTTAACTGCACAAGGTCTTCTACTAACACCTTAGCTAATGCTTCCTCCAAAAGTTTGGCAACAGGACAAAGAAGAGCCACGCAAAGCTAACATGAGTCATTTTATCTTCCCTGCAGTTAATTCAGATGACACACTGCTAGTACCATCATCTACATGGAATGCTCTCACAAAAGCGGTTTCACATAGACCAAGGCTTTTCACTATAGAAAAAAAGCCTGACCAGCAGGGAACACCTGAGGTTTATAGTATAAAAGCACTTGAGCTGGAGGAGATGAACATGGAATGAACACTCATTCTCGCAATACAAGAAATACTTGGGATCAAATGAAATTTTAAGGTGCAATGTAAGCAAAATAAAAAAACTCTTGTCACACAACATAGGGTTAACTTGCCAACAGTCAACTTGTAGGACACTGTAAAGGGGAGGGGGGGAAGAGAAAAGTCCGTCAAGGGTCTGTAAAAGACAAAACCACCACCTCTGGCTCGGGAAGTCTGTGAACGCAGATTGCTAGGAGAGTTGACCAGGGAAATAGTACACATGCTTGCCCTGTTACTATATTCTTCTCTGGCATCCACTAATAGCCACTGTTAAAGACAGGATCAGCAAGAAATTGTGGGAAAGACCTTGTACACAATGCATACTGGAAACAAAAGATAATTTGACAAGGAGTTTCTCAACAGAGGAAAGAATACACCAATGGCCACAGAAGGTCAGACCGAAGAGCTGCCCAAGCACAATATCCTGTTTCTGAGAGTCATCAACAGCAGATTCCCCAGGAGGAGTTAAGTACAACGCATACATACAATGCTATTTTCCTCGTTTATTTTTCCTCCCTCTCAAAATTTGTTAGTTCGGGGATTTTGAGCCTGAAGTGGTCGTTGTGGATTTAATAGCCCTAGAGAGACTTCTCTTCCATAAACCTCGTCAGTGGCTTTGGAACCCACGTGCAATTGTAGCACCCCAAACAACCTGTGGCAATGTTATGTCCCCACGTTTTTGCATCAGTGAACAGCCTTTCCTTGCTCACCTTTCATATGCCTTCAAGATTTCTCAGAGCTATCTCATATTCTTTCTCAGCTGTTTTTCAGGCAGGGGATCCTACTCATTGCCAATAAAGGAGCTGTTTCCTGTCATCCTTACCGCT